TGACCTTTTCTGCTTGACTCATACATATACTAGATATTGCAAATAAGGGAAACCATGGGACCTATGTTTCTTTGGGCCTGGCTTACTTCACTTAATATGTTGGTTGTTTTTTAAATACCTGTGCGTGTATATACATTTCTAGGGTTATTACAACAAAACCTTTTTTAATGTATGCTAATAAACATGAGAAAAATAAATGCATGCGCATGATCCCTTTGCAGATAAAATGCAGCCTTTAATAAGTTCTAGAACAGTATGTGTAACTCTAGGTGGTGTATGTTTGTCTCTTGCAGGTTCGCAGTGGCTGTGCCTTTATGGTCCACGTATGCCAGGATGAGCACCAACTTTATAATGAATTTTTTACAAAGCCGACGTCAAAATTAGAGTAGGTGGTACATAGAACTAAGCTTTTGTTGAGAAGATTTAATTTATTACTTGTCATAATAGACTAGTAGATTATGGAATATTATTCCAAAATTAACTTCATTGTTTTAACTTTTTTGTGTATATGAACAGAATATTGTCAGGTGGAACAATGATTATTTTCTTGAAATAAATGTGTAGTTGAAAGGCCAACATCTTTTCTTATTTTCTGTAGTACAGTTGTGGAGACAATAGCAATTGTGCAATGACAGCAAGAATTCTCTCCAGGGAACTAAGTCCCAACAAGTCAGTCATTACTTCTAGTAAATATGTGATTCTAGTATAGGATATTAAAACAGACATTACTGAATAATGCTTTTCTTAATTTTCTCTGAGTGTCTTTCAGAATCACTGTGTCAGATACTTGATTTCTTTATGTTTGTTATTTTTAACTCATAAGGTTTTAAGATTATGATTCTTACTATGAGGAAGAGAAAAACGTGTTTTATGGTTTTTGGGCAATCACTTCTGGTGAAATACTGTATACAGAAGAGTACTGTTGACTATATGACAGATATTGACAGCCTAAATTTTTTTTTCAGATGTTTCAAATTTCTCAGTCTTTGGTATATGTTAGGGTACTTTGGCTTTTGTTTATATCTAAACGTGTTTGTGTTCCTTTTTTCCCCCTCTGGTGGAAAATACCATTTGATTTGCAATGAAGTAAAATGTAAAAGGTAATCAGATCTTGAAAAATAATTTTTCTTTTGAAAAGACATGTAGACCAGTAACTGGTGGCTCATGCCTATTATCCTTGTTAGTCAGGAGACTAAAATCTGAGGATTGTAGTTACAAGCCAGCTCAGCTCTTACCTCCATTTAATAACAGAAAAAGCCAAAAGTGGAGCTGTACCTCAAGTAGGAAGAGTGCTAGCCTTGTGCATAAAAGCTCGGGGATAGTTCTCAGCCTCAGAATTCAAGCCTCAGGACCAGAAAAAAAAAAGAAGACATAATAATTGCTCAAATAGGGCTGGGAAGTTGGCTCAGTGGTAAAGCGCTTGCCTTGCATGCATGAGGCCCTGGGTTCGATTCCCCAGCACCACATAAGCAGAAAAAAAAGCCGGAAGTGGTGCTATGGCTCAAGTGGTAGTGTACTAGCCTTGAGCTGAAGAGCTGAGGGACAGCACCCAGGCCCAGAGTTCAGGCCCCACGACCGGACCCAAAAACAAAAAAAACAAAAAAAAACAAAACAAACAAAAATAATTGCTCAAATAAATAAATGTTGTAATAGGCTATTGACTTTGAGGCTTTAAAGCAAAAAGTTTATAAAACAAAAGATGCTATTTTTCAGTACATATTTATTTGTCAAGAAGAAATCAATGAAGTTTTAAAAATATTAGAAAAATCCTGAAAAAAGATCACTATTCATAATTATATTTTGTTTCATTTTAGTGAGCTTTTGGAGAAATTGTGTGTGTCATTGTATGATGTCTTCAGGCCATTGATCATTCACGTTATTCACTTAGAGACTTTATCAGAACTTTGTGGGATTCTTAAAAATGAAGTTCTTGAGGATCACGTTCAGAATAATGGTAAATACAGAGAAGTCATCATTTTAAAGATACTTTTAATTATATCTGTGGCAATGTGGATTTGAAAAATACTAGATTTTTATTTTCTCTCTTACTCCCTAACTAAATATTTAATATTTTGGAAGTGTTTGGTGGTACTGAAAATTGAACACAGAGCTTTGCTCTTTCCAGGCAACTTAACTTCTCTTACTACTTTAGCTGTAATCCCTAACGCTTTTGTTTGTATTTTGTTTTTGAGATAGGGTCTCCCTAACTTTTCTCAGAGTTGGCATTGAACTCTCAAACATCCTGCCTACCTACTTCATGATCTTTCTTCTTATGTGTCTTGCGTAGCTGGGATGACAAGTGCGTGCCACCATACCTAGTTTCATACTCATGCACAGTAATGTTAAAAATACTTTTATTCCATCCCAGGAAGAAGGGTTAACAGTTTATTCCTTATGAATTAATTTTTTTTTTCAATACTGAGTTTGAAGCTAGGGCCTTGAACATGCTAGAGAAACATTTTGCCACTGGAGTACAAGCCTGACTCTTTTGTTTTTGAGGCATAGTCTTGGTACGTTTGCTTGGGCTGGCCTCAGACTATAAATCCTCCTGCTTTTTCCTTCTAAGTAGCTGTTTTTACAGGCATGTACCACTCTGCCCAGCTTAATCCCAGTTTTAAAATTGTGGGAATTAAAAATTTTTTAAAAGTCATCAAGTCATACAGGAATAGCAAGCAGCTACAATTCCTGCAGCAAAAGTGGTTCATGATGTTTCTGAGCAATTTAGTAGTACTTTTGCTTATTTATAAGTAGTTTCATAAAAGAATGGATGCTTGCATTTTTTTTTTTAAATTATTAGCTGAACAACTAGGAGCATTTGCAGCTGGAGTAAAGCAAATGTTGGAAGATGTACAGGAACGGCTTGTGTACCGAACCCATATCTACATTCAGACGGATATCATGGGCTATAAACCAGCTCCTGGAGACTTGGCGTATCCTGATAAGTTAGTCATGATGGAGGTAGAGTTTCCTGACTTCATTGCCTTTCTGTCTCCACATAGTTTTTCTGTCTTATACCAGTTAAGATTTAAAAAAAAAAAAATCTCACTCAAAGTGTAAAATTAACCTTGCCATGACACTCATAGGAAATAAAACGAAAAAATAGTGAACACAAATCATTTGTTGTCTGTAAATTACATTTTCTATTCATTTCTTTCCTCCTTACCAGGACATATTCTGTGTGTGTGTGTGTGTGTGTATTTTGATATTCTGTGTGTTTGTGTGGATTTTGATCCAGATCTCCTTGCCAGACCTTATCTTTGTCAAATGCTTAACTTGAGGTACATTCTCCAGCCTTTTATTTATATTTTAGTTTTGAGATAAAGGCTTGTTAACTTTGCCCAAGTTGTTCTTAAATTCAGTATCCTCCTACCTCACCTGTTGAGTAGCTGATATTACAGATATACACTACTATGCCAGCCTTTTTTCTTACTTTATAAATTGAATTACTGCTTCCTGTAAGTTTTCTTTGTAAGTAGCATAGAAGGATTGAAAACATAAGAAGCCACTATCATTGATATTTACAGTCTGCATTTAAATTTCCTTAGTTGTTCTTCAAATGTCTTTTATAAAGAGAAGAGACTAAAAAGCATATAAAGTGGAATCCACACAAGTTATCTGTGTTGCATTTGTTTTTCTTGTCTATATAATCTCTTTCAATCAAATTAAGATTTAGTTCTTCTACATTGATTTTTATTTTCATACCACTGACTTTTTAGAGGAAAGCAAACCACCTTTATTATAAAATATACCACATTATACATTTGTCTCCCCTTACTTAGATTCAGGATCAGTCTTTTTGGTGAGAATACTAGCTGTGTATGCTTTCTACTTTATTACATCAAAGGCACATAATGTCAGGTTGTTCTACTAATTGGTAAGGTGGTGAATTTTTTCCCTTTGTAATTAATAAATACTTAGGGTATGATGCTTTACTTTATGTTAGTTCCTTAACATCTTCCAGTTAGTTCTTATTGCCAAACACTGTTGAAAACTAATGTTCCCTGTGATTTCTCTATGCAGCAAATTGCACAGAGTTTGAAAGACGAACAAAAGAAGGTACCTTCAGAAGCTTCATTTTCAGATATTCGGTTAGAAGAAGCAGAGTCTAACAGTCTAACAAAGTCTGGTATGTTATGGTGTGTTAACTTCCAGCATTTATTCCTTCAGTTAAAAAAAACATTTATTGAGGACTTGGGTCCCTGGCATGAAAAACAGCTTATGCTTTTGAGGAGTCAATGGTTATGGGTGAACTTGGATGAACTCTGAACATCATTCAGTGGTGAGGGAAAAGCTGATTGGATAAACAGGAAGTCCCTAAACCACGTGTGATCTTTGGGGTATGAAAATTAGGAAAAGAAACGAGCTGTTAGTACAAGCAGGTAGGGTCAGTGTGAGATGTGGCATCTGAAAGCTGGAGGCAAAGAAATCAGATTAAGATAGCTAGAATAAGCCGGGCGCTGGTGGCTCACGCCTGTAATCCTAGCTACTCAGGAGGCTGAGATCTGAGGATCACGGTTCAAAGCCAGCCCGGGCAGGAGAGACTGT